ACCCAGGACAAACACCAGACAAATTCATCATTATATTGATAGGAAAAACACAGGTAGCAATGAACATGTCTGCTGACAGAAAAGATTATGTTAATAGGAGGAGTTACTATATATGCATATTAAAAAAACAAAAGTAATCTTAAGGAGAACGAGAAACAAAATGTATCAGTAAGAAGACTAGAAACAAGATGCTTCCCCAAGGGAAGCTGGAAGAAAAGAACTTGATCAACCCAACTAAAGATGGGAAAAAGAAGGGAGAAAAAAAGAAGTAGCAGAAGAGATGGTAAGTAGAAAACATAAAACGTCATGGTAGAAATCACGAATTCCTAGAAATCAAGAAGAAAGTGACAATCCAATACAAAAATGGGCAAACGGTATAAACAGGTAAACACCAAAGGAAAAAATACAAATGGCCAACAAAAATGAACAGTGGAGAGGAAAATGCAGACTGATACAAGGTAATGTTTTTCCTTCATCTGACTGGCCAAAGTTTAAAAGGGCTGGGACTTCCCTGGTGGTGCAGTGGTTAAGAATCCGCCTGCCAATGCAGGGGACATGGGTTTGAGCCCTGGTTCGGGAAGATCCTACATGCCGTGGTGCAACTAAGCTGGTGAGCCACAACTACTAAGCCTGCACTCCAGAGCCTGCAAGCCACAACTACTGAAACCCACATGCCACAACTGCAGCTAGAGCCCGTGCTCTGCAACAAGAGAAGCCACTGCAATGAGAACCCTCTGCACTGCAATGAAGAATAGTCCCCGCTTGCTACAACTAGAGAAAGCCTATGCGCAGCAATTAAGACCCAACACAGCCAAAAATAAATAAAGAAATAAATTTATTAAAAAAAAAAAAGGTTTAAGAGAACCATCTCCTCTGCAGGGAGGATCTGGGCTGGCCTTCTCATGCAATGTCGGGACAGGTACAGCATTTTTTGAACAGCTTGGCAGGATCTGTCAATATTTTAAATGTAAATACATACACTTTTACTTGGCAACTCCACTTTTAGAAAACTACCCTACAGAAACATTAGTGACATTATTTGTAACAGTGACAACTAACAAATAAATAAATGTCCACCAACAGGGAAAAATGGTTAAATAAATTACGGCAGTTCCGTATTGTGGAATACTAAGGAGTGGTTAAAAAGAGCAAGGTAGATCTATGTAAATGGACACAAAAGATATCCAACTGTCGAATGAAATAAAAGTTAAAATTACGTAAAAAAATGAAAACCTAGAACAATATATGTTCTATGATTCTATTGTTTTTTTTTAACCTACCCATCTACCAATCTACCTACCTACCAATCTATGCGTAAATGTGTCTGTAAATTCATATAAATAAGTGACAGGCTGACGATCCCTTATTTGAAACCTCAGAACTACGTGAGTTTCAAAGTCAGAATCTTTCCGATTGTTAAGGTAAAATGGGGGATATACCACACATTAAGTACCCTCTCCAGGAGAGCCTGCAGCAGCCTTCATCATCAAACTCATTAATATGTTTACAGTGAGATGTGTGACTATTTACAGTAGTAGGATAGATAATGGCAAGCCTCATGCTTGTTCAGATCAGACTTGCTACCACATGAAGACAGGTCGGATTTTACTGCCCCAAAACTATGAAAACAAACAAACGAAACCCTTGGTTTTGGATAAATGAACTATGTGTCAACTAAGATGATATCTGGGATGGGGAAAGGAACAAGGAAAGGTGAAGAGGCACTGACATTTCCTGTTCTACATTATTCTGTTCATTTGAATATATTCATAATAAGAATGCATTTCTGTTATCAGTTGTCAAATTAAAACCCATATGTAAAATTAAAAATGAGGAAAGATGCTTCAGAGAGTACAGAGAAGCCCAGAGGTGCAAAGAGCAACCCCAAATCTGGGAACTGCCCCAGAAGCTCCTGGAAACATTCAATAAATATTTCCTGAAACAGCACAGAGGATATGAGTAGGAAGTTCTGGTTCTCAAATACTCTTTCTGTATTGGCTGGTCATTTGTTTCTCGTGCTCAGAAAACGTTCACTGAGCACTGCATATGGCAAGCACCTCAAGTTCTAGGGTCAACATTTTTGAAAGAAACTGACACTTTAATCATTCCAAGGGTTCAGTCAGTCCAGTGGTGCCAGGCAGACCGTCCACGAGGCTGGGTGAGAAGGTATTAAATGAAGCACACGATGACTGTCTACAGGTCAGATCTGGATCTCAGGGAACCATCCTGGTTCCTCCAGATCACGTCAGGCTCCGTTGCCAAGGCACCACCATCGCCAAGGCACCACCGTCTCCAGCAAGCACACCCTCCGCGGCCTCTGCTCTGGAGGACCGCAGATGAGACTGGAGCTCCCTCTCCCTGCCTCCCCTGTATGATGCTGGAGGAATCTGCATCCCTCTGTTTCACCCCAGGTATTCAACAATCTCTGAACTGCTGGAGTTCAGCACAGCCACTGGCCCCCGCACCACCTTGTCCTCAGGCAGGTATTGACAGATGTCTGGGCCCTCACCCCCTAATCCACTCTCAGCTTCAACACCAGTCTCACAGGCTTCCTCTGTCCCCTGCAGCCTGGATTCTTCATCTTCATCTTCGTCTTCCATGCCAGTGACCCTGCAAACTCCTAGCTCAAGAAGGTCTCGTCTGCTTCCGTTCCAGTCTCCACCGGGCTTCACCATCTCTCCACACTGTTCCCCCTTCCAGCTGCCAAACTCTCAAATCTTAAACCGGGAGCGGTGGCCTCTTTCCTCTTGCTGATGTACTTGATCCATCACCGCAGCTGATTGTGAGCAACAATTATTTTACTACATCTCCACCCCAGCTCAACTCAGAGTCAACTGCTATCAAATTAGGTACGCACTCAGCCTGACCTTCGCATGGTGCTACAATGCAGGCCCAGCCAACTTCCTCACTTCCCTCTCATGCCTTCCCTCCTGTCTGGCTAGGCTGGAATATTCAGTGTTTTGTGAACTCTCCTTGCTTTCCACCTCCCAGCCTTTGCTCACCTGGAAAGTCCTCCCTTCACATCTCTCCTCATCAGCATCCTATCAGTCTTCTCAGGGTCTGCCTCTGGTTCCTGATTCCCCCTGATCAGACCTAATCTCTCCCTCCTTTGAAGCAACTAAGAACTGTGTACCTCTCATGGCACTGCCTTCATTTTGAACTATGGCACCTGTGGATGTCTGAGTTTTTATACCGGATAGCAAGCAAGTTGGAAATGCCCAGTGCAAGGTAGGCCCTTGAGGCTCACTGTCTGAATTCACACCTTCATGGTTAGTTCACAGACTCCATAGGCTAATAAGGTCAAAGTCACAGACTCTGACCTCCTGGGGTCAGCTAGGTTTGCTATAACCTGTTTATGGCTTCTGGGAACAATCGTGACCGTGGTCACAGGGAGAATGTGTGAGTCAGTGTCACACTAGATGAACGAAATATGCCCAAAAATCACTCTGAATGTGCATGAGACTTTAATAAAAAGATGTATCAGGAACACAGTTACCCACCCACCTTACACGTCATCTAATCTAACTAGCACAAAAATTTCTAGGGGAGGTGTTTTCTTATTTTAAGACTAACACTAAGGTCTCAGTTGAGTTGACTAAGTCAGGTTAAGCAAGGTCACCCAACGCTAAGTGTTAGAATTGAGATTTTAACGTGGGTCTGACTCAGAGACCAGTGCTCTTTGAAATTCCCCACATCTGTAAACTTGTACACTTGTGACCTGTGTACTCACAAATATACTCTCAAGTATATTCACTGGTATACTCACAAGTATACTTGTGACTTATATATTCACAAGTCACGTTCACTCCCACATTGACGAGGTCACAGGTACAAACATATCTCATATTGTAGCTTACTCTATTTTTATGTCTTTTAAAAAAAATAAAATTTATGGGCCAAAAAAAAATAAAGTGAAACAACACCGTGGTTAAAAGAGCTTCCAGGAAATGCAATCAAAACCATAGTGAGATATCACTTCATATCTGTTAGAATGGCTATTATCAAAAAGACAAGCAATAATATGTGTTGGCAAGGATGTGGAGAAAGGGAAACCTTTGTACAGCGCCGACTGGAATGTAAATTGGTGCAGCCAGAGGGATATTTTGGTATATTTCTTCCAGGCATTTTCAACATGTAGCTTTTTTCCATACTTGAAAAATAGTTTTTCCATAGTTTCCATGTTGTATAAACAGTTGTACACTCTGGTGGGTTAGTTTTTTTGCACTTATTATAACAGATATTTTCTGATGTCACTGAAATCTCTTCCTGAACGTCACGTTTACTGGTGATGCTTCCTTGTCTACCATTTTCCAGTGCTTAAGCTTTGGGGCCGTTTCTGGTTTGCTGTTATAATGTGCAGGGCACAGGACTTTTTTCTCTAGAAACCTCAGCTTAGGTCTTTAAGATCCATTCCATTACAGAGAAGTAAGCGGGCAGCAGTCAGCTCGCGGAACAATTTCTCTTACTTTAAGAAAAGCTTTCAGGGGCTTCCCTGGTGGCGCAGTGGTTGAGAGTCCGCCTGCCGATGCAGGGCACACGGGTTCGTGCCCCGGTCCGGGAAGATCCCACATGCCGCGGAGCGGCTGCGCCTGTGAGCCATGGCCGCCGAGCCTGCGCGTCGGGATCCTGCGCATCGGGAGCCTGCGCATCGGGAGCCTGCACGTCGGGAGCCTGTGCTCCGCAACGGGAGAGGCAACAACAGTGAGAGGCCCACGTACCACACACAAAAAAAGAAAAGCTTTCAATATAAAGGTCAATTTTGGAGTCCTTAGAGAGATTTAAATAATCAGCATTCAGAAAGACAGTGGATCTAGTTACACACAGTGGTACTTTAGGGTCGAGTAATTGTTTTAACCTTTCACCTAGCGCTCTCGCCCTACAGCAATCTGAAACCAGGGCTGGGAGTCCCGAAAGGCAACTTCTCCCAGGGTTCGCGCTCCTGCCGCCCGGACACACCCGCGCAGGCTTCTGAGTGCGGGCAGCGGCCCGGGTCCCCTTACCTGGGCAGCGCCAGCTCCTCCTCCGCACGGTCCCAGGAGCTGGCGAGCGAGGGCAGCGCCAGGACCCCGTCCAGGTCGAACACGGCAGCACGCAGCGCCATGACTGCCTGCACCTCAGCCTTCCACCCAGGTACAGACCGCTGCGAGGAGATGGACGAAGGCCGGGGCGCGGGACCAGAGCGGCGAGCCGACGCGGCCTCCCAAGTCGAGTTCGGCCCCGCCCAAGCCCCCTGTCCTGGCCCCGGCTCCGCCCCTGCCCCGGCTTCCGCCCCGCCCTCTGTTCTGGCCCCGGCGCCTCCAACCCCCTTGCCCTGGCCTCCGCCTCGCCCCCTGTCCCGGACTTGACCACGCCCCACAGCCGCCCCAACCCCTCGTCTTGGTGCCGCCGGCGTTTCGTCCCACCGGGCTTCACTTGATGTACCCGCACCCACCGCGGCCCGGGCTCCATCTCCACCGCCTCCCGGCGCCTGGACCTGGGGCTAGAATCTCACTTCGGCCCGGAGAGAAAGCGGGCCTGAGAAAGAGCCAGAGGCCACAGACCCTTGAGAGAGAGAGATGCCAAAAGTTTCTTCATTAAATATTTGGATCCTCTATATTCGTTTTGGTTGTCATATCTAGTAAAGTAATAGCTTTGTTGCCCTTCTTTTCTAGATTCTGTACATATAGTTACAGGTCTGTCACTATCCTGACCATGAGCCTCTAGTCACACTCTTCTTTGTCAAAGCAAAATGTATTTCTAGAATAAAATATCATGCTCCAGGTATTGTATGCCAACCCAGAATACGTCCATCCCAGTCTCTTGTGAAATGAAGTTTAGAAGGAATACATGTGAACTATGATTACCCCTTTGTACAGCCTTCTTGTACTAATGCTGCCTAAAAAGGTTTGAGCTTTGTTTTAAACCACACTCTTGGCTCATTTGTGTTTCTGGAAAACCTAAGCCTTAGGAGTGTCCGAGCTGTGCTTGCAAATGGGTTGTTGGACTCTTTGTGCCTTTGTAGTCAGCTCCATGAATTAAAACATACTCCTGGCCTGATGTTCCAACTTGCCATGAGCACAGCTCAGGACATAGGTGCCGAAGACCTCCCTCCCTCCTTCACAGTGTCATCTGTGAATTTACCCAAGATATTTTCCCCATTTAGCTAGAAGAGGTAGATCCCTGCTGAAATCAAGAAAGACTTGATCTACCAACCATCAGTCTGATCGACAAGAGAAATGAGTCTGCCTTGGGGTGTCTTGTTCTAGTGAACCAGGACCACACCTGCTTCTCTTGTTTTATAACCTCTTCTGCGATTGTGCCTGAGACAGTTAGTGTTTTCTGAGATCCGCTCCTGAGAAGCAGGAAATAATTAACCACCCCAAATGTTGTAGAAATAACTGAAAAAAAAATTCGATATTGCACCTGGACGACGCTGGGTGACCTGTTTCAGAACACTTTCAGTGGAGTTTTTGGAGATAGACGCTAGATTACCCTAGATTTGAAGACTGAGTCAGGGTTAAAGTGAATACATACAGTAGTCACTCAAGAAGTTGGTGATCTCAAAAGTAAAATTGAGTTAAAAAAAAGAAAGCAAATGACAGCCTGCTTATGTAGTATGAAACCACTTAAATTGAAATCTCCAGTTTAGACTTCCCTTTACCTCCACACTTGCATATGCAATTTCTTATTCAGCACCTCCTCATGAATATCTCATAGGTTATCTCGAATTTTTCATGACTGAAACAGAACTCTGGCTGCATTCCCACCTCCCAAGCCTGCTCCTGGTCTTACTAAAGGGCCTTCCCTTCCAGTTGCTCAATTCAAAGAACTTGGACCCCTGGTTTCCAGCTAGCCCCTGTGTCCTTGAACTCAGTCCCAGTGGTGGCCAGCTGATTGGGGCAGAGGTGACAGCTTCCACATCCGTGGTGGTGTTTTTCTGGGAGACTTTCTTAAAGGCCCAGTCTGAGGCTCACTACGCCATTCTTTTCAAAGATTTTGCAGGTTCCTAGTTTCCTGTATTCAATCTCTCCCTATTTAAATTAACTAGAGTGATTTCTGTTGCCTGACTGGTGCAGTACTGTTTAGGAATACATGTATGTGTTTGTAAAATGTAGCGAAGTGAAGAGAAAGGTCACACTGACCGAACTGGATTTTATAAATCCCCCTTAAAAAAAAAAAAGAAACTTAGAATATGAGACTCCACTTTAGATGGAAATCATCTTTGGTGAAATTATGGAGCTGTCTTACGGACCTTTGTTTATTCCTGGGCTGTAAACTATAGCACCTGGTGAGTTACGGAGCTTCCTGGATGAATTGCTGAGGCAAAGATTAGAGGTCTCGACTGCATTTTATTGTGCTCTGCTCTTTGTCATGGGTCATTGTCCCGCTGTGCTTTCTGCCACCCAAGGTACGGGAAGATGAGAGCTCACTCAGCTGGGCTATGGAAAAGGGATATCTTTTTGAAATGTACATCCTAACCCTTATGTTTGCTAATTTGAATATTTATAAAATTTGTTTTAGGTGATAGCACGGATTCATAAAACATGGCTAATGTAGTCGTGAAAATTCAGAAGTTACGTCTGCCGTCAGTCACTAAATTTGTATTGAACTCATTACACTGAACTCATTAGATTTCGTGTTGGATTTCCTGCCCCTGCTACCCCTTCTCACCTCCTGCTAGGCCTTGGTTTTCCAACGCTACTTTAACACTCTGTTTAATACCTAGTGGTTGAGAGAGAGGTTCACACTGCTGCTTCTCCTGCTGTAGGTGTTTGAATCAACCTTAAAGTTGTCTCAAGCTGTTTTCTAAACCCACATTCCACCTGAAGCTTTGTCTTTCTTTCGTGCAGCAAATGAATTTCTTTTATTCATTCAACAAATATGTAGGGAGCACCTGCTATGTGCCACGTGCTTTCTTGGCAATTGGGATTCACTGGTAAATAAAACAGACAAAAAATAGAGATGACCAAGAAGTTTCCATTTTAGTGGAATGATGAATTCAAGGAGTTGCCAGTTGTTTGTGGGACAATGAGAAAAATGAGACAGGGAATATTGATAGTGGCTACTCGTCGTGTTTCTTCTTTGTCATTGTTTTGGCTGCCAACACCTATAAGCTCTTGCTACATTTGGAAAATTCTGCCCCGTAGTGGACATCTATCATTCAGAGATGCACAATGTCCTTCAAACATCGCTCTAATTTAATATCTCACATTTTGAGTTCTACCTTCTTAAGGTAGCCTCCACAAACACCACGTTAGCTGGGCTCCCTTAACACTGATCACGTGACATGGGCTCTGCCAGTCACGTGAGAGTTGGGTATGGGAATGAGCAAACTGAAGCAACAGCTGTGTGAACTGGAACTTTCTTCCAGCCACAGCAGTAGCAGAAGCATCTAGTTTTGATCTCGGAGAGACAGCAGGGGCTAGAGGTCATAGGCAAAGTGGCCCTGATTCTTTACCCCGTTTGAAAGCTAGAATGTTTCCAGGAGGCAAAAACTGTAAAAACAGGTACGAAGTTTATTATTAGAGACACGGCGTAACCTGTGGGAGAGCCCACAGAGAAGCAGTTTGTTTATTTAAGACAGAAGCAAGGCAGAAATACACACCCAGAGAACAGTCCTGGAGTCCTGAATGAGGAGGCAGTAAGGAGGTGATTTAAATCACTTCCATAGGGCAGTCCTTCCAGGTCTTTGTTTACACTTGGCGAATTATCTTGTTTCTTTTTTCACACTTGGCTGGTCCCAGGACACTCCCCAACATGCATGCGCAACTTTTTGTTAAGGTGGATCCCACTGCAGAGGCCTGTGGGTGCATGTCCACACTATTATGCAGTGGCATCCCCTCCCTTTCTGACCCACAAGGAGCCTTCCTGCGCATGTGCAGTCAGGGAAGTTTTCCTGACCTCAGGAGTGGCCGTCTTATCTCTTTATTTCAGCGGAGCTCAGCTTCTGCCACTAGCTTTGTCCTTGGAGTGTCTGGGTGAGAACAAAGCTTCAATTTTACTGCCCTTGACAAACACCAGCTGTCCAGCCCAGGGGACCATCTATCTCCTCTCTCAGATTCTCTGGGGAGGCTGAGACGGAGCTTCTCCAGTCTAGCTCTGGCTGTGCATGGTGCCAATGGGGTGACACAGTGATGGCTTTGTTAAAATTGTACCTGGTGTGGTTTGCTGTCACTGCATTGCTCTTGGCTGTGTGGTTTCCACACCTGCTTCTCTTGTCCTCCCTGAGATGCTGTGAGATATCAGTATCCTATAATGAGACCCTTTCTGCTTATAAGACTGGGAGAAATGTCTGTGGTTGCAAAGAAGAACTCTGTAAGACGTAGCCACCTTATGAATCTTAGAAGGAAGAGCCACTCTGACCATAGAATCCAAAAATGCTAAGGGCTCACGTTCTCAGGCGAAGGCCTGTGAGCTTAACTCAGCAAATCAGACGCACCCAGTCCAGACTTTACAGCAGGAGCTGGTGAGGTGAGCAGGGCAAGACGAGAAACATTTTGGTTGGCAGTTTCGGGGTGGCAGCAGCAGCCGGGGTCCCCAGCTGGCAGGGACGGAGCAGGCCCTGTGACCCTCTGCTTTCGGCGGCAATAGTTTCAGCGCTATAGTTGACACTCATAGTGCGAGCACTTCAGCAATAGGGTCCAACTCTAACTTTTACAATGACGAAGGCTGTGCCTGCCTTTTCTTCCTTACTTTGATAATCTATTTTATTTTCTGCCCACTCCATTACTTTATATGCAGTATGCTTTTGATGGACTTTATGGTTTATTCCATAAGAAACAGAATTTCAAGATGACCTTGTGTCAGGCTTAGAGCAAGAAAGTGCATTGACTAGAGAGGCAAGACTTGGAGCTGACTGGAGTAACTGACGAGATGTAAGACTTTGTCCCTTTGGGGTTACGATGAGCTCTTTTGTGTCTGTGAGGAATGGCTGTCTTTTGTTAGTGTTCTAACCATGTTCTCTTAGATTCACTATTGGTCCGTTTGGTATGCACTACAAATAAGGCAACTAATGGCCAAAGTTGTCTACATCTTCCCAGTGATCCAGCCTTCAGGAGAGTACAGACATCATATTACAAACCCTCCAGCCAATCTCAAGTCCACACCCCCGGCCATCTCCTTTACCTCTCTCTCACACCTGGCCAATATTTCCCCTGCAGTGAATCACCCCAGGGCCAGGTACTAAACCACCGGAGACCACCCCTATACCCACAGCCCACAAAAATGATTCAAGCTATCCAGTCCTAGGCTGCTGACCCTGTCCTGCCTTCCCTTCCCTACAGAAACTCCAATACATTCTCTGGGCCATGCTTTCTCCTTTGCCCTTCCTGCCCTCTGTCTGGCCCATGTGCTTCCCCGTGTGGCCCTATGTGACATGCCATGATTCCTGCTTCTGGGGATCTGTGAGTATAAACTTCTTCCTCTGTGACAATCATTCCCGTGTCTGCACGTCTTACCATACCTGATTGAAACAAATCCTGGGTACACATTTTAGAACAGAATGGGTAGGTGTGAGCATTTTTTTCAAAGTGTAATTATGGAAAGTTGGGTGTGCATTGGTGGGAGGAGCCAAAGAGCAAATTTGTGGGAGTTTCCCAGCATTTAAACTCCTTTCAAATATTCTGGGAAAGTTCCCACCTTGAATGTGGCAGAAGCCACCTTTCACATAGTTCCAAACACCAGATTTCTGCTTCCTCAGCCTTCCATGCATTTCGTTCACGAGCCCATGATTAATCAGATGCGTTTATCCTGACCTTTGTATTGGGAGCTAGTGACACAATGAAGTAGGAATAGAGGAGAATTAATTCTGACAGCAGCAGGAGTGGCTGGTTTCCAGGGACAGCAGTGACAGCAGTACCAGTGACAGACGGTGCAAGGTTTTGCATCCATTTCTGCAGCAGCAGGGCCCACTATGCTGGTAATAGCTTGTGATTTGGGCTTTAGTCTGGCTGGTGTTTCCCTCGCTCTCACCTGTGCTCCAGGGGGGGTTCTCCAGCTTTGTAAGTACACCTGTGAACTTCCCATTGCCCTTTAATAAAATCATTTTCTGCTTAAATTAATCAATAGATTTTTATTGCTCAAACCAAAGACCCTGGCTGATACAATCTATTATTTTCCCTTTTCCTTCCCTCTTTCCTTCCTTCCTTCCTCCTAGCTTTCTCTCTATATGCATTTAATACTTGCATAACTTTATATGCACACAGATATACATATATATCAATATGAAAGTACTTATGGTAAAATATTAACATTTGTTAGTTCTGGATAGTGGGAATGTTGGTGGTTACTTTTATGTGTTTTAATATTCTCAAAAGATAATGCTAGCAATCATAGACACATGTGTAAATATATGCACGTATATATCATATTTGTATATATCACATATATATCGGATTGGCCAAAAAGTGCGTTTGGGTTTTCTGAAGATCTTACAAAAACCCGGACGATCTTTTTGGCCAAGTGATATTTACATACGTACACATATATATCATGTATTATTTCGGTTTTCTAAGCCCTTTATTTATACTAACTCATTTACTCCTCAGTACAAGCTTATGAAGTGGAGCCAGTATTCATATCCTCCTTTTACATATGAGGAGACTGAGGCACGGAAGGCTCTAGAGACCTGTCCCAAACCGCACAACCAGAAGTTAAACCCTGGCAGTCATGTCCTGCGTCCTTGGCTTTTAACAATACGTGGGAGATGAGATAGCAAGGTGCAGACCCCAGAGTGTTTTTAGGATGGAGAATGAGCTTCCTTATGGGCTGAGGGGAAGGAACAAGCGAGAGGGAGAGGGAGATACGAGAGAGCCGGGCGACATTTGATAGATGGATCACAGGGCCACGCTTCGCCACGCACAGCAGGAGGAAAAGGACTCCTGATCTGATGCGGGGGAGAAGGAGGCAAAGGGTCAATTTATGGTTTGAAGGAAGGTGAACTTCCTTATCTGGGAAAGTGAAGGCAAGGTCACCAGCAAGGAGGCCGAGGAGGAAACAGGCAAGCTGCCCCCAAACCAGGTGGCAGCACGAGGGAGCCGGGGTCCTGCAGGGGAGGAGGGGAAGAAGAGAACCGCAGGCTGCTGACTGGCGGCTCTGTCCTTGGTCCTATTTTACTCAGAGCTGTACTGCTCTATTGACAGACAGACCCAGGAGATTCCCCATCTATGGGTGAGGTTGGGGGACCCCAGGAAGTGATCCTGGAGCGCAGGATCCTTCAGAGCAAAGAACGAAGCATCTTCGTAACCAGACGGCAAGTAATCTGCTGTTGGTCCCCACTGGACAAGGACTAGATAGTCACAGGCTCCTCCCCCTTCCCTCCAGAGAGGGTGTGTGTGTGTGTGTGTGTGTGTGAGAGAGAGAGAGAGAGAGAGAGGGAATGAGCATGCGTCTGTGTGCCTGCCAAGCTGGCGGTCCCTCCTGTGGACCCGCCTGGCTCTTACCTGCAGAAGCATCCGTGCCAGCCTCTCCGTGCTGTCCTCCTCAGCAGGACCTGCATGCGGCTTCTCTGGTCACCAGAGCTGGGAGCCTGGGCACAGCAGCCTGTCTTCAGAACTTGTCCAGCCCTCCCCAGGAAGCCAATCTGACTCTCAGTGTCAGGTCTCCCTCATCTGCCAAGGCATGTCCTGTCCCAGCATCTTTTTGACAGGGAAATGAAGACACCCAGCTGTGCCCTGCACCTGCCTTTCCATTCTGGGGGGACTTTGGCCAGCTGACCAGGACCTCCAAGCCAGGTTGGTACTCTGTTCTTTGAATGGCTTGTCTTCTGTGGTCACAGGTAAGAAAGGTGCCCCCGAGCTTGTGTTGGGGACATTGTGAGGGCAGTTCAAAGTGATATGAGCAGATCAGCAGCTTCTGGGCACTTAGGAGGGAGGTATGTCAGAATGCTGGAAGTTGCCTGCTTCTAGAAAAATTTTAGTCTTTTGGTTGTCCCTGCTGGGGCTGTTCAGAGCCCAGTGACAGTCACCCCCTCCCACTGGTGAGGGTGGCTCCGTCTCAGGACTTATTGGCTTTACTTTGTTGAATCTGCTTCTATGTCTTTATTACCACTATTCCTCTTTGGTCATTTATTTACTCACTCAGTAAATACTCTATATGCTTTAACAAAGGCTAACAGACATCAGTGTTATTCACTGACTTGGAAGATAGCAAGTTCTTCGTTGCTGGGTTTTTTGCTGAGGCTGGAATTTGTGGAGGAAAATGATCAGCTGGTGTGGTAATCCAAATGACCTTTAAGATTCCACCCGACCTTGAGATGGCAAGCTTCTGCGATTAATTGATGTATTGAGCAGATCAAATATAAAAGCTAGAAATAGGCTCTCTCTTCCCTAAGCACCTCTGATGAAATGATTTGGAAGAAAAGACGCTTTCATTTCCTCAATCAAGAGACTTTCTTTGGGGTGTTGACAGTTATGGGAGTGCAATGACTCCCATGCTTGGGATTGTGCCAGATGGCGGAGAAGTGTGGGGTGAAATCGAAGCAGGTTTTATGGAGAAGGTGGGGCTTGTGAAAAGAATAGAATGGGGGTGAGAAGTGGAAAACCAGCTGCAGTAGGAAGATGGACAAAGAAATCAGCCCACATCACCTTGACTTCAATGGAACCAGGATTCAGGATGTGGGCAAAAGAGGCTGACTTGAGCTGGGGTATGGGGCGCAGGATGGTCTAGACACACTGGTACGTTGCAGCGATACAAGCACAGTGAGGATATTGGCGTCTGAGCCCTTTACATATGCAATATTTTTTGTACAGGTTTCCCTGTGAACTCCATTCACCCAGACCCACTTTACAAACAGGGACATCAGCCCGCAGACACCCACCCCCACCCCCGAACCTGCCAATCTGGCCACTGAGAGGATCAAAGGGTCCAGGACTCTTTCTCTTTCAATAGCCTTCTAACAAGAGGTGGAAGTTTAATCACTGTCAAATACCTGGAAGAATTTCTCCTTTGGTTTCCGGTGACAAATTAATGAAATTATCATAGTGGGCTAATTACAAGGGATGAGGCATCTCATCCTGAGGCATCTTGCAGGAATTTGTCCGCTGGAGTCAATTCAGTCTCATTTGCACATTCTTCCAGAGGGTCCAGGATGTCTCTGGTTGGATCTTTATACGATGCAAGTTCAGCACGCCTGGACTTCTATTTCTTTTTCCCCTGTTCTCACTAATGGGGAAAAAAAACCATGCTTTTATTTAGTGTGCTTGGTTGAAAGGTGACATAGATTATAACCTTGGGATTTGTGCACGTGATATCAGCTGGAAGGAGAGATGAGCGGAGCTGCACACAGAGGAACCTCTTAGAACCTCGGATCCAGGTGAGCCTGGCCTTGGGGTAGGGCACCTGTACCTTGTCGCCACCTGTCTGCCACAGACCTCAGTCGTGAGCGTGGCTGAGCAATGACAATCATGGTGCTAAGATCTATAAAACACAGTCGAGTACTGGCTGAGTTGCCCATACAAAGTTATCCTTCTAGTTGGCACCACTGAGTAGCACTTGAACATGTTATAGTTTAGAAGCTGAAGATGTGAGCTTGAATCCCGGCTTCATAGCTTTTTAACTATGTGGCTTGGGCCAATCAGTCAACTTTTGTGAACAGCAGCATTTTTTAAATTTAAATAAAAGAGATAATAACCCTTCCCCATACCTTCCTAGGGGTGATGGGAGGCTCAAATGAGGTCAAAGGTGAGAGGCACGAAGGTTCACTTGTGTCGAAGATGCATCATCCTAAGAACGCTTTCCTGGGCTCACTCAGGCTTGGCAGTCAGAGGGAGCCACGTGGAATCCCCAGGGAGCTCCGCAGTGCCAGCTCCCCAGGCCCTGCTGGGGAAGCGGCCCGAGGTTCAACCCACAGCCGAGGCCCGGCCTGCCCTCCTTCTGATGTCCAGCGGCAGCCGGACCGCTCCTCTGAAGCCATGGGCCCCTCCCGCCCTGCACTCCCGTCCACGACAAAGCTCGGGCTGTGGTGGCTTCTTCTGATCCCGGCAGGTGAGTGGGGATGGTCCCTAGGGCATCCTGTCACACCTGTGAGCTCGTACATGCCTCAGGGAGGAAACTCCTGTAAGTGGGCTGGTGGCAGCCGCCAGAGCCGCAGGGGATGGAGCTGTTCCACCGCGGGAAGGTGGGGGGGCGATCGCTGCGTCGCCTGAACCTCCCCGAGTCGCAGTGCTCCCCATCTGCAAAATGCCAACTGCACTGTGACCCTCCCAGGGCTATTGTGTGGTGACCTGGAATGAGAGCCTGTGACTAGCGCCTGCGATACCGCTGGCACACGGCAGCTGTTCTTACCGATGTTCTGAATTTTAGAGCAGTGGTTCTCGACCTGCTCAGGCAGGAGAACCCTGAAGAGGTGAAGCTGTTTGCAGAACACGGTGAAATCAGACACGGATGATCCCATCAGACAACTGGGGACACTCTGCCCAGCTGATGAGAAGGAGCAAATGCCTGTGGTTTGAGGATAAACAGGCGACATGCTCCAGATGGAAGAGAATTTCTTGGTTGGCATTAGTGGTTCATGACAAGAGGATGGGAGTGAACGTTCCCGGGGCCAGGCTCACGATGACACGTGAAGCCCTTCCCCCTGCAGCTCACCCCACACAATCGGGCTTCTCCCCCACGTTGCTGTCCCTTGGGGCTCCCCAGTTCCAGGCTGGATCTCATCCCCTGTCTGACTTCTCACCGCTCTGCACCCCTCTCAGCACTTGTTTTCACCCCTTATCCATCAGTCACAGAGTAACTGACATTGCTTGAGCACCAACCATGTGCTGGTTGCTTTGTAAGCTCTAACACACAGGATCATATTTCCTCCTCGATAGTGTCTTGAAATAGGTTCTGGAATAGTGCGCCCATTTTGCAGATGAGGAAACTGAGGCTCAGTGAGGTTAAGTGACTCTGATTGGACAGGAGAGGGAGCCAAGCGCCCAGCACCACGGACTCCCGGAGACTCCTCTCTCCCCTCCTGTCCCACAGCATCCATGCAGCAGGCCTCCCCCACCCAAGCCGAGGACCGCCTCTTCCAACATCTCTTTAGGGGCTACAACCGCTGGGCGAGGCCGGTGCCCAACACCTCGGACGTGGTGATCGTGCACTTCGGGCTGTCCATCGCCCAGCTCATCGATGTGGTGCGTCTGTCCTACCGTCCTTTGCCCCCTTGGGATCGGCCTCAGACATGGGCCCCTTTCTGGGGCTCCTCGTCCCTCCCCGGCCCCAGCCCTCCCAGCCCACCTCAGTCAGAGCATCACCCCACGGAGCCTGGGGATACTGCATCTCCCTCCCGCTCTCAGCCCTGAAACCCCTCCTGGGAGGGCGTTGACAGGCAGCGGTGGGTTTCCTAAATGCCCTGCCCTGCTTGTTCCGCCTGACATAAGCCCAGAGGACCCCGTGGAGATAATCTGAGTGAGGGTGGCAGCGTCAGGAGGGGTGGTGGGTTGGCCGGGCTTGCGGTGTCACCTAACAGGTTCTCTGGTGGGTGGGGGGCCTGAATAAGCCCCTCCCACTCTACCTTGTTTTCTGGGGCTCGTTCATCACTCTCATTGCTTTCTTTCCCGCTACTGGCCAGGATGAGAAGAACCAAATGATGACCACCAACGTCTGGCTAAAGCAGGTGAGGGCCCCTCCCCTGGGCAAGACAGGAGCGGGGTGGGAACCCACAGACCCCAGCGCCTCCCAGGACTCTTCCACTAGAAGCACGATTCTGAATTTACCTTTTGTCTGAGTTGCCACTCGGGATGTTCCCGAGGCCAGCTGACTGCAGACGGCTTCTCGTGAGGGGCTGTGCTCTTGTGTGGCCAGGCTCTGCCCAGCACCTGAGAATGTCACCTACAAGAGCCACGTGGTCCCCTTTCTGGGCATTGCCTACGTCCCTGCTACCGTTTGCAGATCAGCTCGCTGAGTCATCACCGAAAGCCATGCAAGGTTTTGTTCTGCCATTTTATAGCTGAGGAAAACAGAAGCAGAGGGCAGCTGGGCTAGACAAGGGCGGCCCAGGTGTGCCCCACTCAGAGCCCCAGGCTCCTTCTGCAGGAGAATGCTGAGTGCTCTGTGTCTACGCTGCCTAACAAGCTACCCCAAAACTCACTGGCTTAAAACAACGGACAGTTTATTACATCTTTAGTTTTTATGGCTAAGAGTTTTAGTGGTTTTTTCCGCTTTGCACGGGGACTCCTGGGGTTACTGGGTGGCGTTTGGCTGGTGGCTGGTCTGCTCTGGAGGGTCCAAGATGGTTTCACTCACAGGTTCATCTATCAGCAGAGATGTCTGGAAGGCTCTGGAAGGTTCTGTAAGCCAGGCCCAGGTGGGCTCTTCTCCAGGCCCTTTCAGGGTCTCTCTGCCTGTTCTCTCCAGTAGGAGAGTTCGGACTCCTCACCTGATGGCCCAAGGACCCCAGAGCGAGGGTCCCAAGAGACAGGAAATGAAGTTGTTGTCTCTTAACCAGAAACTGCCTCAGCATCAATCCTGGCCAGTGGATGGGTAGCCCTCTTTGATGTGCCATTCTTGGGGCAGAACTTGGGGACACAGGCTTTATAACAGCCTGAATATATTCTCTCCTCTTTACAGATGAGGTGCAGAGCCATGAAGGGACTTGGGAAGCCATAGCAGTGCAAGGGTCAGACCTAGAACCCGGGTGGCCATAATTGTCCCCATAGGCCAGTTACCTAGGCTTCAGGGACTGGAGTAGGGAGGAGAGGAAGGAGCCCTGGAGCAGGAGTCAGGCCAACCAGCACCACCTCTGATTAGCCTGTGATACCATGCAAGTTAGTCTCAGAACCTCACTTTGCTCATCTGTAAAATGGGGCTAATATAATCTATTGCCGATTAATATAACACAACTTGGTGTAGATGCCCCCCCAAATGTTGGATGAACCTGAAAACTTAACAGACAATGGACTGGGGAGAGGGGGTACATTTATGAAGACCAATCCCTTTCAAAATTATTCCTCAATGTCCCGAGAAATCCTGACAATTTTAGTAACACTTTTATCTTTCCTAATTTGCAAGTCTGGCCCCTCTCTCTGCCTAAGCCTTCCCCTACGGAAAAGCAATCAGCACCACTGCTGGGCCAGCATCTTCCCAGGTGTAGTTTCGGTACCAACGGCAGTTTTGTGAGATGATTTTAGTTGGCTCGCAAACCCTTTTTTTTAATAGTCATATATTTATATTTTAGTGGATGGTTTCAAGTGCTGTGGGTTTTCCAGTTATTTCAGTGATGTAAAATTCAAAAATTTATGTAGGTTTAAAAATAATGAACTAATTTAAAGGAAAATACTATGTAAATGCTAATATAGGCAGTGCAAATATATTGGCAAAAATTATGAAGCTGGGACTTGAGTGCTTGAAGTTTGTGAACCATTGAGCTGGATCAGTGCTTTTCCTCTCATGTGCCTGCTTCCTGCAAACACTCCTGTTTCCCTTACTTCTTCCTGGATCCCTAGCCAGTTGATGTGTTTGTGTAAATGTTACATGACTTTCCTTAGAGGGGAAAAGGCACCACGCATGGGAGACTTTTCAAGGGCACATCACTGCCCTATTTTAGTGCAAATGCACAAAAGCAAAATGGCCCCTAGAATTAGGGCAAGTTTGGAAACAGGGAAGGCTGGGTTCAAGCCCCAGTGCTGCCACTTATTGACAGCGTACCCTCTAAGCCTCAGTTGAGAAAACAGATTCGCTTGGACCAGACGGTGGAAACAGGGATCCTAGGGGCCGCTCTAGTGCACAGTTGGAAATCCACTGGGTGACTCCCCTTTCTCAGCTGTGTAACTCTGATAAAGGGGTTGTTTTACCCCTCTTGTCCTCAGTTTCCTTATCTGTTAGATGGGGAAATACTTCCACCTGCTCTGCACTCTTTGCCCGGCTGTCCCATTGAGGGTCTTTCTAGACAGAGGGTGTGAAAAACCTTTGTAAACTGCGATGCACTAAAAAATGTTACTACGAATGAGTGAGGCTGCTTGCCGGGGTCGTCCAGCTAGGGAGTGGCAGAACAGAGGCGGGACTAGGGTGACCCGTCCTCCAGATGTGCCCGGGACTTTGAGTACAAGAGTGGGGGCAAAGCGAGGGCTAGATTATTTTAGACTGGACTCCCCGTTCCCATCTCAGGGCCCTTTCCTGGCATCGCGGCCCTTTCTATTCTGTGGGGCTAGGTGAGGAGCTCCGGGTGCTGCAGAATCCGGCTGCTGGGCATCCCCAGATTGCCCTAGGTTTGCCCCGAGGCTCCCTCCCCCGGCAGGGCTGCTGACCTGACTCCCCTCCCCACGCACAGGAGTGGAACGACTACAAGCTGCGCTGGAACCCGGCCGATTTCGGCAACATCACATCCCTCCGGGTCCCTTCGGAAATGATCTGGATCCCCGACATCGTCCTCTACAACAAGTAGGAAACGGCTGGGGTTGTGGAGGCCCCTTGGGACCCCTGAGACAGGGGGTTCCCTGCGAAGGGCGGGTAACTTGAGGCTAGGCTGGGTTGGACTTGGGAAGTGCGCCCCCTTGTGTCCAAGCTGCGTGTCCTTCCTTTCAACTCCTGCTTTGCTCATCCTCGCCTCACCACCTTTTCTCTTGATTCCCTTATTTCTTTCATCTTGTTCTCTCACTCATACACCCAAAATTTATTGAGCACCTACTGCATATCAGTGCCTGCGCTGTGCTACTGGGACACAGCTGTGCCAACACTGAGCATTATTTGAAAAATATGATTGGTGCAGGCTGTGAAAAAAGTGCCTAAGTGTTGGAGTTTTGCAGGATGGCATTATTGTTGGAACAGGTAAGCAGCATCCCAGGGTGACAACTTTGAAGGGATCAAGCATGGGTGTTTTAAAAAGTATTATTTATAGTTGCCCTGTATTCAAAACCAAAGAGGACCAATCTTTGAACATAATGGCTAGAAGTTAGTAAAAGGCAGGGCAGCCTAAAGAGAGCCCCAGAGGACCAAGTCGGGTTGTTTTAATAGAAGATATAAAGAGCTATAATTTCATTCATGTTTGGCATCAGGTAATTCTTCATTTAGAAATGAAGAGCTTAAAAGATATTTGGCATGATGTTTGTCTAAAAATATTTTCTGAAGTGGGACTCTAGGGACCACTAGTTCCTGGGGAGATGAATAGGTATGAAAAATAGTTCTAATTTTAAATAACATTGTATGTCGTTAAAACCCTTTCTGCACCCCAGCCCCAGTCCTTTGGAAAATGTCATTTTAAATGTTGTTAGAACTTGTACAGACAAGAAACCCCTTTAGCCCAGCATTTCCCAATTCATTTGACCCACATTTAGAAAAGCTATTTTTAAACAATAGAATAAAGGGAAACAGATCCACCTCTGAAGTTAGGTGTCTCCAGATAGGTCAGAGGGGGGTGACATTGATCCCTTTACACTGCCCTGTCCTGGTCAGGCCCAAAGCCCTGTCATCTGAGCCATCTCTGTAAACACACATTCAGCATGAATTACCTGCAAGGTCTAACATTGCCACTGGACTCACGGACCCCTCACCCCGTATCTGCACCCAGGATCCCTCTAGTTTCTGCTTCCTGTGCACCTGGCAGAGAGCAGGAACAAAGTCCTAGCATCAGATAGGACCCAGAGTTTCAGGATTGCCAATAAGGCTTTGTCCAGTGTTACTTGATTATAACAGGAAATTCTTTTGATAGGACAAAAGTTCAAACCAAATTCTTGCAGACATTTAAAGAAGGGTATCTCCTCCACCCACTCCACTTCAGGTTAAGAAGACCCGGGGAATTGCTTCTCTCCTTCCTCAAAATGGGGACACATGTTGCCATCTAGTGGTGCTTCTGCATGATGACAAAAATGCCTTAAAAACATTTTTTTAAACTTTTGCCTTGATCTGTTTGTAACTCCCTTTCAAAGTTCTGGTTTCCAACGTGCCTAACTCTGTATCCTGGAACTACTTCAAGGGAAAGAAGTCTCTCTTCCTGTGTATTCTTTTATTTTCTTTTCTTTTCTTTATTTTTGGCTGCGTTGGATCTTCGTTGCTGCGCGCGGGCCTTCTCTAGATGCAGTGAGCGGGGACTTCTCATTGCGGTGGTTTCTTTTGTTGGGGAGCACGGGGTCCAGGCACGCAGGCTTCAGTAGTCATGGCACGTGGGCTCAGTAGATGTGGCTCACAGGCTTAGTTGCTCCCTGGCATGTGTGATCTTCCCGGACCAGGGCTTGAACCTGTGTCCCCTGCATAGGCAGGTGGATTCTTAACCACTGCGCCACGAGGGAAGTCCCTCTTCCTGTGTATTCTTCTGGTTCCCCTGTCTTTAGGATTGATCGTGGGAACTGGATAGGGAGGGAAGGCGGGGGCTAAGAGCTCACTGCGCCACCTCGCAGGGGGAAATCGGACTCAGGCCCGAGTGGTCACCGCTGTTCCAGTGTCCCCTGTATCCTCATGGGCCCTTAGATGCCTAAGGGCCCTCACGACGCCCACTCGGGCCCCGCCCTCACTCACGCCCCGCCCCCAGCTCGGCCCAGCCGCTCCTCCAGTCCAAGCACACACTGTGAGTTTTATCCTTTCCCTCCTCTGTTCTTTGTTCTGCGGATGCTCTGCTGGTCTGCTCTCCACCCCCAGCTTTCTGCCAAATCCTACCCTCCATCAAGGCTTTGCTGAAATGGCAGTGGGCATGGTGACCCTGCTCACCGGACGCGGGTTCCCCCCAGTAGTTATAATGCTGTTGCCAAACCGCCTGCCTGGCGTTGTAGGTGTTCAGGCCTGCTTCTCAGTTCCTCGTGGTTCCCTAAGGGCAGGCATGAGTCTCCCCTCCACCAACAGCTCCTGCAGAGGCCCCAGTGGGTGCGGCTGGCTCAGAAATGCATGTTGGAGGAAGACGGATGGCGTCTTCCTTCACCAGCAAAGATGTCAGGTGTCTTCTGAGGAGGGAAGTAAAAACCTCAGGTGTAAATGACATGACCCCCAGCAGAGGGGCTTACTCACCATCTGCAGGGGTGGGGGGTGGAGGAGAGAAAAAATAGTCATGTCAACAATCACTCTAAAACATTAAATGAATACAAACAGGCCATCAAACTACAAATATACCACATGATTACAAAACCGTAAAAATGCTGTATGTGTTATCTAGATGACAATCAGATATACATGAGATATAGATATATCTCATATATGTATAGATATAGATCTATAACATCAAAGCGTTAATAGTGGTTATTTTTAAAATTCTTGGTACTTTCCTATACTCTTAAAAATTCCTACTTTTGTAATTAAAAAATGGTGTCTGAAAGACAACTCAGGCAGCTCTAGATGTCTGTGTGCCGGGGAGTCTTACCTGCACAAATCCCCACAACTTGGCCCAGTCCGGCTATGTTATTGGGGTCCCCCCGCTGAGTGTTATCTGGAGCAGTCTGGCTTGGGTGCCTGGGGTGCGCAGGGTCCCCCCAACGCCTCTCCTCTCCGCAGTGCAGATGGGGAGTTCGTGGTGACCCACATGACCAAGGCCCACCTCTTCTCCTCGGGCACCGTGCACTGGGTACCGCCCGCCATCTACAAGAGCTCCTGCAGCATTGACGTCACCTTCTTCCCCTTCGACCAGCAGAACTGCAAGATGAAGTTCGGCTCCTGGTCGTACGACAAGGCCAAGATCGACCTGGTGCCGATGCAGCAGACGGTAGACCTCAAGGACTACTGGGAGAGCGGCGAGTGGGCCATCGTCAACGCCACGGGCACCTACAACACCAAGAAGTATGACTGCTGTGCGGAGATCTACCCCGACGTCACCTACTACTTCGTCATCCGGCGCCTGCCGCTCTTCTACACCATCAACCTCATCACCCCCTGCCTGCTCATCTCCTGCCTCACGGTGCTCGTCTTCCACCTGCCCTCCGAGTGCGGCGAGAAGATCACGCTCTGCATCTCCGTGCTGCTCTCACTCACCGTCTTCATGCTGCTCATCACCGAGATCATCCCGTCCACCTCGCTGGTCATCCCGCTCATCAGCGAGTACCTGCTCTTCACCATGATCTTCGTCACCCTGTCCATCGTCATCACCGTCTTCGTCCTCAACGTGCACCACCGCTCCGCCAGCACCCACAACATGCCCCACTGGGTGCGGGTGGCCTTTCTGGGCTGCGTGTCCCGGTGGCTTCTGATAAGCCGGCCCCTGCCACCCTTGGAGCTCCGCGACCCCCCAGATCTGAAGCTCTGCCCCTCCTACCGCTGGCTGGAGACCAACGTGGATGCGGAGGCGATGGACGAGGAGAAGGAAGGCAGATGGGCGCGCGTGGGTCATTCGTCCCCCTTCACAGGCGTCCCTTACAGCCATGGGGGTCTGCGCCCAGGGGCCTCGGGTCCCAAGGCGGAGGCCCAGTTGCCGGAGGGTGGGTCCCTGCTGTCACCTCGCATACAGAAAGCACTGGAGGGCGTGTGCTATATTGCCGATCACCTGCGGGCCGAGGATGCAGACTCCTCGGTGAGTGGGGGCTGGGGGAGGGGCCGTCCCCTGGGTGACTCCACCGGCCTAGTAGCCATCCCTCCAGGGTGTTAGCTTGGGTCAACCCAGGCTCCTCCACGAGGACCCATCTCCCTTAGTCATGGCCTTGGAGTCTGGAATGAATTGTGGTGGAGAACGTCTAGCTGGCAGCTCTGAAGACGTTTATTGGGTAGGAGGCAGAACAGCAGTAAGAATGTCCCCGCTCAGCCTAACTGGGAGACACAGGACAGAGCTGGAGGGCGTCTCCCCACGCCACCCTCATGCAGGCCATTTCCCACCATTGCCCGTAGGCGGGGTGGGGGGGAACTCATCGGGAGACCCCAAACAATCCAGCCTCCCCCTTTGTCCTGACGGGCCCCTCCTTCTTGTCCTGGGCTCTGGGCATTTTGTGAACGTCACTGTTCACTCATGAACACTGAGGAAGCTTGGATGGGCCTGCGGGCTCCCCTCCCCCGCCCCCTGCTGTGTCCTGCCACTGCCCAGGGTCACAGAATCCTTCTTATCAATTTAGGGAAGGATGAAAGGCCAGGAGGTTATTACTGGGTGGCCTTGCTGAGTAGATAAGACAAGTTAATTGTTATCTAATCCGGGAGCAGCTAGGACTCCAGATCCACTTGCCTGGGCTGTAAGCCCCAATTCCACAAAGCCCCTACCCCCCTGCAAACACCACCCAGCCCTTCCCTGGGCCACACCTACCCTCACCTATCCCCCCAGCGGGTGGGTGAGTGGGTCGGGAGGTAACATGGGGGCACAAAGTCTTCACCATTTTGTAACTTCTGAGCGTTGCGTTTAAATCACTGCAGGCCCCCTGGGAGGGTCCATGCCCCTGGGTGACTCTAGAACCTTCTGTGTCCCTCCAGCCTCCCTTACCGGGAAGTTGAGAGCCTATGGAAAGGCTCTGGGCTATTATCACAGGGGTGGTATAGGACGGGAATCGCTAGGAGAGGGCTGTTTGAGTCTTGAGATATCCCTGTTTACCCGCCCCCCTCCCACCCCGCTCCTTAGCTCCCAAGGTCTCAGTGGCGTCACCGCTGTCCCCAGTGCCATTCTTACAGGGGCTGCGCATGGGCGGGACACCTCCCCTTTCCCAAGTCCTCGGTCACTGTGCACCCGTCTCCCCTGCAGGTGAAGGAAGACTGGAGGTATGTGGCCATGGTCATCGATAGGATATTCCTCTGGTTGTTTATCCTTGTTTGCTTCCTGGGGACCGTCGGACTCTTTCTCCCGCCGTTCCTAGCTGGAATGATCTGATGCCACATGGCCTGCTTTGGCCCAGACGTGGCATAGCTGACCGTCTTTAACGGCTGCCGCCTCTGGAGTATGCCTTCGGAGTCAACGCCATCCAACTACAGGTGCCTTTCCATGGCGTCCGGACACGGAAGGCTTCTTGGGATGATTCACTTGACAGTATTGTACTTTGTGCTGAGAATCTGCCAGGCACGGAGCCCTGTTTGGATGCTGAAGAGCTGGGCCAAAAGGAACTTGCTCTGCAGAAGGTTACGACGTGGTGATGACAACGTGAAGACGTATGAGATGCTCCTGGGATGCAGACTCTGAGGGATGCGGGTGGGGGGAACCCAGGGGTTGGGGAAGGGCCATGAGAGGAGGCTCAGACCTCAAAGGAGGGGTGCGTAGGGAGAGAGCGCCTCGGGGGCGTGGAAGGGCTATGAACAGCATTTGGGATTCAGGAACAGCCTGAAAAGGCAGGGGGGACAGCCAGGCTGAGGTGGGCTTGAGGATGGGGAACAGAGGGAGGAGGTTGGAAGGGGAAGAGAAGGAGGAGGGCCACAAGTGGGGCGGATGCAGGTAGCTGGGCCGTCCCACCACCTGGAAGCTCTTGTGACAGCCCAGACTTCCCCTGCCTTTAGCCCCGGCCTTCCCCGTGCAGACCCGCTCAGCACCAGCTGGCCCTCCGAGAGGTGTGGCCGCACTGAGAGTCCCCGTCTGCAGGGGCGCTATCTGTCCTTCAATGCGCGTGGACAAACCAGAAGGACACCCCCAGCCATTCCTGACCCAACTCAGGCCCGCGGTGCGCTCCCTCCCCCCGCCCCCACACAGGATGAGTGGTGGTCAAGCCCCAGGCATCCAGGACTTTTGCTCGGAGGAGCTGAGAGGAACGAGCTGGATGGCTTTGCACCCCGAGACGTTGCAGGACCCCTTCCCTTCCCAGCCTGCCCGCCCTTCTTACCCGAAGCCCCGCGATGTCTTCTGACCGGCTCTGTGCAGCCTGTCTTGCCCCCTGGAATCCCGCAGTCCCTCGCCCCAGCGCCGTCCAGCCTGAGGGCAGAACCTCGGCCCTAACAGATGCGGCACTGGGTCCTCCGGACAGGGTGGGGACTCTGGACGGGCAGCCAAGCAGGGCAAGCACCTAGTTCTCTTTGACCTTCAGAGTCCCCTCCTTCTAAGCTCCACTTGCTCTCCCTGGGGGACCCTGCCACAGCGGGCCCAGTCCTCCTGCCTCAGTTCTCTGCAAGACCCCCCACTCAGAGGCCATCCTGGTTCCTTCTGCTCTGCAGATGCAGCTGCAACCTCCACCGTCCTCCCCACTGGCTCTCCTGGAGCAGTGGTGCTCCCAGACTTGACCTCCCGGTGCAGCGATGTTCCCTCTTGTTATTCCGTTTCCCACCCAACTGGCAAGTGAGTCAAGAGATCAAATAAAGCTGAAGGGCTGCTCAGTCAGCTGTGGGACCCCTCCCCAGCACCCCTGGGACCACCGCACCCCCTCAGAGCCCTGGCTATTTGATGGCAGCTGGGAAGGTGCCACTGGCATCCCTGTGTGGCCCTGGAGGGGCTGCCTGGGACCCCACTGTAAAGTCTCCCTTGGCTCAGGTGCGGGGGGCAAAGGCCTGGGGCAAGCGCCTGACCCCGCCGCCCTGGCATCACCGCGAGCCCCGGGGGGTTGAGCCCTGGCTTCAGCCTTTGATCTTCGCCCAAAGTAAGCACAATCAATTCCTTCCAGGGCCGAGGCCCGAGGTCATCGTTACCCGCCCCAAAGGTCAAACAAACAAAACAATCAAACCACAAAGCAAATGGTACAATTTTAATTCCTCCACAAGTCAAATAGAAAGAAGGTAAAAGAGTGTTCTGCACAAACACAAGAACGGGAGGGAGGGAGTGGTCGAGAAAGGGGGAGAGAAGACAAGTAAGAAAAGAGAAGGAAGGGGCCAGGGAGGGAAGAACGGAAAGGGGGCGAGGAATGCGGGTCCAGTTTGGCCTCGTCTCTCCCCTTCTCCCCTCTTGGCGTGTGGACAACACAGCCTCCTGTGTCCCGACTCCCAGTAGCTTGTCCCTGGACTGTCCCAGGTCTCCCCTCAGGGGCACATACGGCTGTCAGTCCAGACCAAACTCACATTAAATAAATTCCACTATACACTGTACAAGAAAGCCAGGTCCATCCCTCTTGGCACCAGCCGCCCGCCTCCCCGGAGAGAGCCCCTCCCGGCCCCTCCCTCTGTGCACGGCGTGGGGCGGGGCTCCGTGGGCGGGGCTCCGTGGGCGGGGGAGGAAAGAGAAGAGCTTGGTTCCCCAGTCAGCCCGCCCTTCACAGGCCGCGTAAAGCCATCGTGGCCGCAAGGGGCCCCAGCGTGGCCCCCTCAGGCCAGGCAGCAGTGGCTGGCGGACAGCAGCCACGCTCCCTCTGAGCCCTCTTTGTCACCCCCTGCCGTCTGCAGCCCTGAGTCACCTCTGTCCAGCTGCGGCCTGAGCAGCACAGTCTGGGGGCGGGGTGGGGAGAGGGGACGTGCAAAATGGCAGGGGAAGGAGGACTCTCCTCGCCTGCCCCCCCCCCCCCGGGGGGACCCATAGGACCGAAGGTCAGGCAGGGGCCGGGGCAGGGAGGGACACGGCGGGCGGGGGCGGAGACGCAGGCGGGAGGCGTTGCCCTCTTCACTCTGCCAGGGGCTGGGCCAGGTTGGCCAGAACCTTGGCCTGGTCCACGGCGTCCAGCAGGTTCTTGGCATCCACAGCCAGCGTGTGGGAGGCGGTGAGCATCTGCCGTTTGCACTCCTCACTCAGGGAGGTCACGGCGTTTTGCTGTGCCAGTCGCATCTTATTGATGAGCTCCGCCAGGTCCTTGTTGAGCAGTTTCTGGGTCCCCTCGATCTGTAGGAAGAGCACACGGGAGGGGCTGGGACCCTGAGGGGCCGCGACGTGCAGGCCGGGAGGATGGGGAAGCCACACGGGAGTCCACCTAGCGCTGGCCCAAGAAGTCGGACGTTCTCTGGGGGGGTGGGTCTGACCCAGGCTTGGGCTGAATCCAAGGCCAGTGCGGGCTGGGGGCCAGGTCGGCAAGAACAGACACTGCGGGCACCCCAGGCCCCAGCCCGCCTACACCAGCCCCCTCCGATCCAGCCCCAGAGACCCTCCCTTTGTGCCCTCATACCCTCGTGCTGGCCCGACGTGGGTGAGTGGTCAGAGGTCAAGTGCATTCACTCATTGGTTAACTGTGTACCATCACATCAAGAGACCAGCGACAGCGGTTGGGGCTGCAGGGTTTTGTTTACTACCATGTCCCCATGCCTAGTGCACTGCTGAACATATACTTGGCGCTCAGGAGATATTTACCAAGTGAAATGAATGACTGCCACTCTCAAGCCGGACGGGGGCTCCTCTGGGTTCTTGCTGCCATCCCGAGGGGGCGCGGGAAATGCCCAGACCCTCCTGCCCTATGCGTGGTCACAGTGGGGACAGTGGTGGGCTGCAGTGGTCGCCTGTGTCACATTGCTGACCACCGGGAGACGGTGGATCGAAAGCTACAGCCTGGCAGGGGGTGCGGTGTTCTGCTGGAGCCTGTGGCTGGTTTCCAGACAGAAAACCAACACACGTTCAGAGGCACAGCCTCAGTCTCCAGTTCTGCGGTAACAAATTACCACAAACGCCATGGCTTAAAACAACGCAGGTTTATTCTCTTACAGTTCTGGAGGCCAGAAGTCTGGAATGGGTCCCATGGGGCTAATGTCAAGGTGATGGCTGGGCTGCGTTCCTTCCGCAGGCTCAAGGGGAGAATCTGTTCCCTGCCTTTTGCCGCCTTGAAAGGCTGCTGCCTTCCTTGGCTTGCAGATCCTTCCAGCAGTGGCATCATTCCAACCTCTGCTTCTATCATCAATCTCCTTCTCTGACTCATAAGACCTCTGCTTCCACCTCCCTCTTACAAGGACCCTTGTGACTACATTGGACCCACACGGATAGTCTCAAGATCCTTCACTTAATCCCATCTGCAAAGTCTCTTTTGTCATGTAAGGTCACGTAGTCACAGGTTCTGAGGATGCAGACACCTTAGGGGGGCATCAATCTGCCTGCCACTGGGACCATCTCAAGTTAGAGCACCAACACTCCCATTTTGGTTTTCAGTGATTGTTTCTCACTTAAATAGAGAAAATCGATTAAATGATCAATTGAAGAAACCTTAACGGCTATTTCTGTGACACACTCACCTTGACCTTAGTATGGAGGGTACTAGACAAAGAATCCCAGGGGGCGGTAAAAAGAAGGGTGTGTCATCCTTTGCATGTCCTCACGCAATAAGAAGTCATCACAACCATCTGAGACCTAAACTAGGAAATTCACCCTAGGAAGCCGGCCGGGTCCCCGGGTGCCAACTCGGCCCCCTTGTGGTGCCTTCCCAGATATGCCGTGCAGAGCCATCCGCTGGCGGCTCCCAGCAGAGAGGAGGCTGCCCCAGGTGGCCCTTCTGAGTCTCCTGTGTGAAACACAGCTGGGGCAGGTGAAGGGGGCATGTGACAGCTGATGTCACCGACTGGCACAAGGACACTCACCTCTGTCCGCGAAGACGACGGCAAGGACGGCAGGAGGTCGTCCACACTCGCGATGAGCTTCCGCAGCGTCAGGCCCACGTTCTGGGAGAGAAAGGGGCGGGGCGACCGTCAGCTTGGCTTCTTTTGAGAAAGCCACGTCTCCCTGGGGAAGAGCCCTCCTGGGATGGTGCCTGCCTGCCGAGGGTACCTGGGACTAGATTCCCTTTGACCACCTGGCTCTAATGGGGGTCTTCCTGGGAGAGGCACCTGGCCGGCAGCCTGGGATGGTCGGCCCCTCCCCCTTCCTTCCAGGGTAGAGCAGCCCGCCTCCCCAGGCCACGGCTCCGCCCTTCCCCTCACCTTCACCACCACCACGTAGCCCTCGGGGGGCAGCTGGCAGAGCTCATTCTTGAGGTCCAGCACAGCCCGCACCAGCTCCATGACGTTGAGGTACACCAGGTCGTGGGTCCGGTCCAGGTTGGCTGTGGGCTGGATGGACTGTGTGGGTCGGGGGAAGAGAAGCAGAGGGCCCAAGGGGAGGGCGGCGAGTCAGGGGCACACAAGCCATTCTTTCCTGGGCAGGCACTGCCCACTCAGGCGTCAGCCCAACTGCTGAAGCCTCTTCTCCGAAATAGTAGCGCCCTGTCCTGGGGGTGCCTCCCTCCCTTCTGCTTCCAGGGCAGTGGTTCTCACATTAGAGTCTGCCGGGGAGTCTTAAAAACATACTGCTGGCCGGCCTCACACCAGACCAACTGAACCATCCCCTGGGCCTGGGGGTCACGTGGTTTCAAAGCTTGTCAGAGGATTCTAACGGGTAACCAAGGCTGAGAACCGCTGTTCCAGAGTGAAGCAACCAGCATGGGCCCCACAGCCACGTGGGTGCCGGGAGCCCAAGCACGGCTGGAGAAAGGGAGGCGGGCCACACCCCCTGCTCCTCGGGCTGGACCAGTGAGCTTTCCTCCAGGTCAGGGAGGGGCCACGGGAGACGGGGCACTGGCCTTCCCTTTGCTTTTTTATGAATTAGCTGTGTGGCCTTAGACAAGGCCAGCTTCAGCAGAGCCAGCACCTACCTGCACGCCCAGCCTCGGTGGCTTCTCTGGGGGGCCCGTGAAC